CTCACCATGTTCTGAACGGTACGGTCCACGATGAAACTCGCTTAAGTCGTGCCTCAAAAAAAACAAAAGCGAGTGATGTAGATGGTTATTGAAAAGAGGCGGAATAAATTCACGAGAATGTACCAACTATTCTCGTGAATTTATTCCAGAGCCTTCCTAGTGTAGCGGGAGCTTGGTGTGGGATAAGGAGTTCGTACGAGTTTTTTCTAGCATCCAGCTGACTTCATGCCAACAGTCTGTAGACCAACACTGCTGATGAATCGTCCATATTTCTGGTGTCAGAGTCCGCGATTCGCGCGACTGGCTGACTCTAGCATCAGCCTAACTCCGTTCAGAGAGCAGTTAAACAGATATGGAGGGTGTATATGAAACGATTCTTACCACATTGTTAATGGCAATGTAGACTGTTGATCCTCACTGGCAGTAAGACTGCTCTCCATGTTCGTGATCCGTCGCGCGACCGATCGCGTCTGGCACCAGCTTAGCCATTATTGGAGGCGTGGCCTAGATTCAGAACACTTCAACACTATGATAAGACCCTAGCGTCCTTGTCGAGCAATTTGGAGTCGCTGAGACAGCGATTTATAATCTTCGTAGACAACCTTATCCCACCCACCACAATGACTGATCCATCTGTTTCATCGTGGAGTGTGCCTTTAAATCCACTACACCATTAATAAGTACAGGGTAAATAATTGGTCAATTACGCTAGAAGCTAGCATGAGAACAGGATGAACCGAAAATTACAAATGTTCACTCACATGAGCTTACGAAGGTGCGGGAAATATGCTCGAAGCTCTCCATATGGTGAATACATATTAGAGGCTAAACACTGAAACATCAGTTTCAGTTGGAGAATGCTGAACATCTCCCTGAAAAATGTTCCTTGATGGAAGATTGAGCTGAAAAAAAAACATTTAAAAACAGTAATGAGAAGTGTACAAACAGAGGAGTCAATACAATATTCCAGCAAGGAAAGACCAACAAAGATCCCTCAAAAGGAAAAAAATAGTTTGCAAAAAAGGGTCGCTAACCCGCGGTCGTACCTGCGTTGTCCCTGAATAGAGGTCATGTTCAGTGATCAATGGGCCCCACACGTTGCATTGGCTGGTCAGGAATTTTGCTTTTCTCCAGACATTCCGATAAGGCTTCGGCTTCCCATTCAAAAATCCACAAACCAATACTTGCTTATTTATTTTATTCTACAGCATTTGGGAAAAAACGCCAAAGTTGCGCAGTTTCTTTTGAATCCCATGAAGATATTGGAACGTTCCTTCACTTTACCTGACCAATAAGTCTATGCTTTGGCTAATCTGCACACTTTCAGACTCCACTATCTTCCCGTATGTTTGGAATCCGTACTATTGCCCAAGGCACACGTCAGCTAACCATTTATTGCACAGGATGCAGCTGCTGCAGCTAGCGATAGCCTACCACTCATAGCCAGTGGACGGGGGAGTGATCAAGGTCGTAGACCCTTTGTCCCGCATTTTCGAGCCTGTAACGAGCGAATCCGTAATTTTTACAAGCAGCTCTACCCTACTAACCCAACAAATCAACTCGGTGGTCTAGTCTTGGGGAGGCGGAAGTGATGTAGTTACAAAAGGCGCTGCTTACACCATGCGCGATGTCCGGTGATCGACTCATGGGTCAATCATCGTTCAGGCCAGCAAGCCCTACATCCGCCCCGGGTTCGATTAGTTGGACGGACTTGTCTGGGAGGAGAAAAAACTGACTGTATGTACATCGGCCGGCCCCAGCAAGCCATTGTAAAAGCAACGTAATCGTTTTCGTTTTGGTTGATTCTGAGAAGAAGTAAGAATTGCGTGGCGCATCCGATACAGGGCTGTTTGACGCTCAGAATGTTTTATATTTATCCTTTATTTAGTCTTGGGGTGTGCCTTTAACCATTTGAAGACTTTATCATTTGTGATAGCATTTAGATAAAATATATGGGGTCTATAAAAAGCAGTGGATGACACCAGCAGGAAGCAAAACCTTCCTCTGAAGAAGTGAAATTTTCCAAAGAAACTAATGCACAGGTTGCAAGGTTGGAAGGGTTTCTGAACCCTTTTAGGAAATTTTGGCCCAAATTTTAAAATTGAATTGACATGAAGGAATAATAGGTCACTTGTCCCCTTGCTCCGAAGCCACGAATCAATCACGAGGTCACCACCATAAGCGTTTTACAACAATTTCAGTTTTTTTTTTTCCCGGTGCTCCAGATTTGCCAAGGTTGAACGGCCGAAAATGGGGTAAACAAGCGCAACAGCCCTACGAAGGCGGAGATTAGTGGGTATAAGAAGGGGGAGTTGGCACAGAGCAACAGCACAATGTTCGAGGAAAAACTCATCATCGGTGTGGCTTCGGCCTGCTCCACTCTCTGACCATCGTGGCCTGCCTGATCGTGGTCCCATCGCTCTACAACACCATCAATGAGATGCACGACCAGGTCCTCGAAACTGTCTCTGTGTTCCGCGTCGAGACCGACTCTGCTTGGACCCAGATGATGGACTTCCAAGTCACGGTTGCTCCTCCATCCTAAGCCTCGTGAGAACCCATTCGGCTCCATCTTCCGTTCGAAGAGACAGGCCGGTCTTCCCTCATACTGCCAGTGCACTCCTACTAGAGTTACCTGCCCACCTGGACCACCTGGACCTCCTGGACGACCTGGAGCACCTGGTAAGATCAAAGTGTATCAAATTTTCTGCTTGGTTCATTGTAATGCTTCACATTTCAGGACAGCCTGGAGCACCTG